AGCCCCCATATAACTGTACCTCCCGATATTCCGTATTTTGATGATTTTAGCTACATTATTCACCGGCGTTGTTTCAAATTTCATGTTTGAAGTTCGTAATAGATACTACAATCTAAGGCAAAAAATTGTCTATGCAGGTCCAGGTCTTCGTATAGCCCCAATTGAACGGCACCTCCCCATATTTGGTATTTTGATGATTTTAGAGACATTATTAATCGGAATGATTCCAATTTTTGTATTTGAAGTTCGAAATGGATACTGCATCCTAAGGCAGAAAATTATCTATGCAGGTTCATATTTTTGTATAGCCCCTATAAAATAGTACCTCTATATATTGATGATTTTAGCTACATTATTCACGTTTTTTTTTCAAGTTTCGAATTTGAATATAGGTCCACGTCTTTGTATAGACCCTAATATAGTGGCTATATTCGTTATTTTTAAGATTTTAACAGAATTTTTAAAGATTTTTTTTTTTTTTAATTTTCCAATTTGTTCCAAATGGTGAAGGTTATTCAAAGTTCGGTCCGGCCGAACATAGCTTCTTTTTTACTTGTTAATATTTTTTTTTTATAAATTTTACGTTTATTTCCGAAATATATAAGTCATGTTCTCCTTCGAGATTTTTATTGAAACTTCTTTCCAATAATTGTTTTTTAAGGTCTAAGCTCGCAAAAAAAGTAAATAAAAAAAACTTAAAAAAAATTTCCTTAAAAATTACAGACTCTCCCCAAGAAAATCCTTAACAGGTTCTTTTTTCAAATAGCAAATAGCAAATTTAAAAAAATATATATTTAAAAAAAGAAAAATAAATAAAAAACTACAAAAAGAGTTATGTTTATTTCCGAAATATGTAGGTCAATTTCTCCTTCGAGGTTTTTAATGAAACATCTCTTCAATTTTTGTTTTTTTTTTAAGGTCTCAGCTCATTTAAAAAATAAGCACTGTAAGAGAAATATTCCTTAAAAATGATAGACTCTCTTTCTCACTCCTATAAATTGCTTTATTAGCTCTTTTTTAAACACACTTCAAAAAAGTCAAAATCACTTCCAGAAATAAATTCAAACCCCCTTCCCCTTTGTGGTTACTGAAACAGGAAACTAGTTTTTTTCTAAATTAATTAATTAATTTCCCAAGTAAACTTCACACTCACAATTTAATTCCTCAGAGACACAATAATTGTGTGTTTCTTTATAAAAAGCATGGTTGTTTTTGTCAAACCCTACCAAAACAAGAGGCAAACTGTGTGTGTGAGTGAGAGAGAGAGCGCTGTGAGGCAGTAGCGGTAAATGGACACCAAGAGACAATAAATCAAAAATCTCTGGCTGGTTTTGGAGTTTTGTCTCCTAGAAAAAAAAAAACTTGTAGTTGGCGCTTTGACAGTACTTGGGCATCAGTTTACGCACCATGGCAGTCAAGCAGACTACCCCAAACCACCTTCGATCCTTAGAATATAATAGAGGGCCGCCTGCCATATGCTTGGACACAACCAGCCAAGCCAGCCAATGATTCTGTCTATTGTCGTTGTTATGTTAGTTAGTGGCTCTCTCTTAATTAACAATTGGAAAATAATGTTCCACATAAGAGACGAGGGTTGGACATGGGAAATTATTTGGAATTTTTTATTAATAATTCAAAAAAAAAAAAAAAATAAAATTGAAAATATTAAAAAAAAAAATAAAATAAAAAAAATTGATATTAAAAATATTAAAAAATAAAAAAATTTTGTTGTTGCAAAATCGTCAGGCAAAATCCCTGAAAAAAATATTAAAAAATAAAAAAATATTAAAAAATAAAAAAATATTAAAAAATAAAAAAATATTAAAAAATAATAAAAAAATTAATATTGAAAATATAAAAAATTAGAATATATTAAAAAATTAAATATATTAAAAAATTAAATATATTAAAAAATAAAATATATGAAAAAATAAATAAATTTGGACAGGAAAATTATTTGGAATGTTTTTTGTTAATGCTTCAAAGAAAATATTTGAAAAATATTAAAAAAATTAAAAATATCGATATTAAAAATTTAAAAAAAAAATATTAAACAAAATAAAAAAATTAATATTGAAAATATTAAAAATTAAAATATATTAAAATATTAAATATATTGAAAAAAATAAATAAATTTGGACAGGAAAATTATTTGGATTTTTTTTGTTAATGCCTTAAAGAAAATGTTTGAAAAATATAAAAAAAAATAAAAATATATATAAATATATAAAATATTTAAAAAAAAATAATTTTCGAAAAAATAAGATATGTTAAATTAAAAAAAAAAACAAATATTTTTGAATTTTTTTTAAATATATTTTTTAAATTTAAAATATTTTTTATCATCGAAGCACTGCCTGTTTTTCCCTCATTTATTATCTTCTCCCCCTTTGACGTATGTGCTTGACTAAGTCTAAATGCCAATTTCACCTTTCCCTCGCACCCCTTCTAAGTGCAGGGGCGTGTTGGGACACGTGTTGGAACTTAGTAACCAAGTGACTGCATGTTTGTACAAGCAATTAGTTGGCGAGCGATGTGTGTTTGGATTTTCAAAAGAATAACTAAAAGTATGTCTGTGCGTACTTTAGAGAAGAAAATATGTATATATTAGAGTGGGTCGTAAAAATGATGAAAAGAAGGAAATTGTGTATACGAGAGCTGAAGGATCGAGGAGTCAGTGAAGAAGACATAAAAGGCCTGGGGGCACCGATGTAGCCCGGGTTGGAGCCAGGGGCCGGGTGGTGAATTTTTAGATATTTTTAAGGAGTTTTGCTCGAAAATCTCATTTTTTGCCGTTTGGCCCTTCCCGAAATGGTTCCGAAAGGCATTTCTGGCTATGCCGGTGACAGGGAGTCTTTATAGATACATTGTAGGTTAGTGTTGTCCCCAATTTAATAACTTTTTAAAATACTTTTTTAATTTCGAATTAAAAATTTTATGGGAAATAGTCTTCAAAATCATTTTTATTATAAAATATTGAAAAAATTATAATAACAAATTTTTTTTTAAAATTTTTAAATATTTTACAATTTTTTTTTTTTTTTTGAAGAATATTTTCATTGCCATTGCCATAGAACCCCCTTAATATACAAATGACTTTCCTTGCTCCACTAAGTTTTGTGTGTTAATGCTATGAAGGAAGGGTGTGTAAGGTGTAACACGAGACCTCATTTAAAATTTGTGCATGATTCAAGTTTCAAAATTTCTGTTTGACATTTGTTGGGCAATTTAGAAAACGGCTAATTGGGAAACGGATGAATTTATTGGAAAAATCAAAAAAATTTTTGAAAGCAATACCATGCAAAGTTAATTATAATTAGTTTTTTAGCCAGGGTTTCATAAAGTAATACAAAGAATTTCAAATACCAAATTTGAAACAATTCCGGTGAAAAGTGTCGCTAAAATATTCAAAATACCGAATATCGGGATCGACACCGACAATCTCCTGTCATAGGCTGTAGCATTTATTACGAACATCAAATACCAAATTTGAAACAATTCCGGTTATAAAATCGCTAAAATCTTCAAAATACCGAATATCGGGAGGTATCGTTATATGGGGCCTATACGAAGACGTGGACTTGCTCAGATAATTTTCTGCCTTAGGCTGTAATATCCATTTCGAACTCCAAATACCAAACAATTGAAACAATTCCGGTGAATAATGTCGCTGAAATATTCAAAATACCGAATATCGGGAGGTACTGGTATATTGGGGTTATACGAAGACATGGACCTGCACAGACAATTTTCTGTCTTAGGCTGTAGTATCCATTTCGAACTTCAAATACCAAATTTGAAACAATTCCGGTGAATAGTGTCACTAAAATCAACAAAGTACCGAATATCGAGAGGTACCGTTATATGGGGGCTATACGAAGACGTGGACTTGCTCAGACAATTTTCTGTCTTATGCTGTAGTATCCATTATGAACTTCAAATACCAAATTTGAAACAATTCCGGTGAATATTGTCGCTGAAGTCATCAAAATACCGAATATCGAGAGGTGCCGTTATATGGGGGCAATGCGAAGACTTGGTACTGCACAGACAATCTTCTGTCTTAGGCTGCAGTATCCATTTCGAACTTCAAGTACCAAATTTGAAACAACTCCGGTGGATTATGTCGTTAAAATCATCAAAATTCCGAATATCGGGAGGTGCCGTTATATGGGGGCTATACGAAGACGTGGACTTGCTCAGACAATATCATGTCTTAGGCTGTGGTATCCATTACGAATATCAAATACCGAATTTGAAACAATTCCGGTGAATAGTGTCGCTAAAATATTCAAAATACCGAATATCGGGAGGTACCGTTATATGGGTCCTATACAAAAACGTGGACCTACATGGCCCATTTTCAATAACAAATGTCCTGTAGACATAAGATACATTTGAGTAAAATTTTGTCAATCTAGTTCATTTCGTTCGGAAGCTAGAGTGATTTCCACAGATAGACAGACGGATAGAGGGACGGACATCGCTAAATCGACATAGAATTTTATGCTGATCAAGAATATATACTATTTTTGAGGTGTTTCAAACGGAATGACAAACTTAATATACACTTCCTACTATGGTGGAGGGTATAAAAAAATTTATTATTTTTAATCCGATTTTTTTAAATTACCCCCATAATTTTTTTAGTCCAAGCTCTAATTAATTGTATTCCATTATTTATTAAGAATTGTAAAAAAATATATATATGTTTGTACATCACAATTTGGTTTAATAAAACCCGTTTTTTCAATAATTTCAAATTTTAAAAGGACGACCATTATTTATTTCATTTCATTATTTATAACAAAATTTTAGAAAAAAAAAATATTTTTATGCCTTAAATTTCGATTTAATAACCCCTTTTTTCAATAATTTCCAATTTTATTATTATTATTATTCTTGTTATTGTTATTATTATTCTTGTTATTGTTATTATTATTATAATTATTTATTATTTTATTATTTATTTCAATTCATTATTTATTACAAAATTTTAGAAAAAATATATTTTTTATGCCTCAAATTTTGATTTAATAAACCCTGTTCTTTTCTTTCAACAATTCCCCATAGATTTAATTAACACCACACACAAATCTCAAGGCAAAGTGAAACATATGTTTCCCCCTCCATGACAGCCGCCTAATGAACAGCAACCACAATTACAGCTAACCCATCAAATGTCCTTCGTTATCCAGCTAACATCCCAATATCACAATCGTCATCTTCATTGAACCCAGTAATTCCTAGGGGGAAAGAGAGAGCGATGGAGAAGAAGAAAAAAAACGGCCAGGGCGAACAAATTAAAACCAAATGTTTGTAAATTTCATTTAACTCAATTGGGGTTTTCCTTGACTACTGCTGGTATTTTGAAATTCCTTTTGGTGTTGAAATCAGGGGTGGTTGTTTTTTAGTTTTCATTTATAACCTTAAAAACAATGGCATGTTCTTCCCGTTTGGCCTCTCTCTCTCTGTTGGGTTAGTGATTTGCTGCTCAAATGAGCAATAGCCGTAATAACAACAACAAATTGTCATCGTGTTTTGTTTGTGTGTTTTTTTGTATAGCGTTGCAAATCTTTATATGATTTAATTGTAATTCGATGCGCTTACTGGATTTCCCTTTTTGAAGTGTTGTTGTTACTGCTTTTGTTGTTACTTCATTCAAGTTTTTTTCGGCATTGCCTATTTGTCATATGTCCTTCCCATCCCCCTTGTCCTTGTTTTCACCACATCCTTTGTGATGTAAGATTGTCAGTTTGGTGTCAATTTTTGGGGTGTATTTACTGGATTTTAATCCTGTTGCATGTCGCGCATTGTTTCGTCATGCTGCGAACGACAAAGGCAGGCTCCTCCCATTTTCAGTGAGAGTTGGAACGGAATGGAATGGAAACGGAACATGTGTTATAAATATTCAATTGCAAATGAATATTTTGCTGATATTAAATTCAATTAGGGCAATTGAGATTTGTGGGAAATTTTCGGATGGAGGGCCAGTGGTAGTGTCCTCATGCCTGATTGAGGAAAGGGAATCTCCATGGAGGAGCTGGATGAGTTGGTGGACCAGTGATTCTAATCTGGACGAGCCGGTGAGCCAGTACTATATTCTGGAAGAGCTTTTGAATCAGTGATTCTTATTTGGGCGATCTGGTGGGCCAGTGAGTCTATCATAGGCGAGCTGGTGGGCCAGTGAGTCTATCATAGGCGAGCTGGTGGGCCAGTGAGTCTATCATAGGCGAGCCTGTGGCCAGTGAGTCTATCATAGGGGAGCCTGTGGGCCAGTGAGTCTATCATAGGCGAGCTGGTGGGCCAGTGAGTCTATCAAAGGCGAGCTGGTGGGCCAGTGAGTCTATCAAAGGCGAGCTGGTGGGCCAGTGAGTCTATCATAGGCGAGCTGGTGGGCCAGTGAGTCTATCATAGACGAGCTGGAGGGCAAGTGAGACTATCAAAGGCGAGCTGGTGGGCCAGTGAGTCTATCATAGGCGAGCTGGTGGGCAAGTGGGTCTATCATAGGCGAGCTGGTGGGCCAATGAGTCCATCTCAGACGAGCAGGTGGGCCAGAGAGTCTATCCTGGGGGAGCTGGGGGACTAGTGAGTTCGTCATAGAGGATCTGGTGGCCCAATTAGTCCATCCCGGACAAGCTAGTGAGTCAGTGATTCTATCCTGGACGAGCTGGTGGGGAAGTGAATCTATCCTAGACGACATGGTGGGCAAGCGATTCTATTCTGTAGGAGCTGATGGCCTAGAGTGTCTTGTCTAAACAAGCTGGTAAGTAAGTGAGTCTATCATAAAAGAATTGGAGAGCCAGTGATATTATCTTGGACGAGTTGGAGGGCCACTGAGTCTATTCTGGAGGAGCTGGTGTCCTAGAGAGTCTTGCCTGGACGAGGTGGTGATTGAGTGAGTCTATCTTAGACAAGCTGGTGGGCTAATGACTCTATCCCGGATGAGCTGGTGAGCTAGTGAGTCTATCCTGGAGGAGCTGGAGGACTAGTGAGTTCATCATAGAGGAGTTGGTGGCCCAATTTGTCCATCCCGGACAAGTTAGTAGGTCAGTGATTCTATCCTGTACGAGCTGGTGGGGAAGAGAGACTATCCTGGACGACCTCGTGGGCCAGCCAGTCTACCATGGAGGAGTTGGTGGCCTACAGTGTCTTGTCTGGACAAAATGTTGAGTAAGTGAGTCCATCATAAAAGTGCTGGTGAGCCAGTGATTTTAACTTGGACGAGCTGGAGGGTCACTGAGTCTATCATTGAAGAACTTGTGGGCCAGTGAGTCTATCCTGGACGAGCTGAAAAAAACGTATATCCATCAAAGGTCCTTATAAAAAGTTCTAAAGGGGTACTCTATACAGAAGACCAAAGCAAATATTTTTTACACTCTGTCTCTGAATTTTCAATTTCCAATAAAAATTGAAATTCTTTTCAATAAATTATTGAAAAAAAAAAAAAGAAGCAAAACCCACAACATGTCTGATACCCCGCCAGAAGGTCATTTCCATTCGCAAACCAATCTCATTGAAGTTCAACACGTTGGAGTCACGGCCAAACTGCAATCTCCCCTCAAGGATCTGCTCTTGAATTACAGCTCTTCAACAGAAAATGAACGACGGGACTCAATTTATCAGCAGCCGAAAAATTCCTCCTCAAAATATAATAAATTTACAAATGAAGCTGGTACCGGGACAACATCGGATTCCACGTTGACGGATAGCTCCAAAATTCTTTACGAAATGAAGGCAATACCCAACCAAGGGAAGAAGGGTAAAAAACTTACATTGACACCATCCAAAATAGAATTTCAATTGTATAACCGCAAAAGAAATGCCAGGAAGAAGAATCTTGGAAAGAACAAACAATCAAAAGATAAGAAAACAAAAAGGAAACTTTTTGAATTTGAAAACAAAAATAAGGATGCAAAGGAGAAAAAGAAAACTCACTCGATTTTTCAAAATCTCCGACTCTCTTTTGGTGAAATGAAGAACTCCAAGGTGAAACCACCACCAAGTCCCATTGATAAAATATTTGACAATTTACCCGAACCCAATTTCCAAACGTCAGAAATACGCATTGGCATCTATCCCTTTGATCATGGCAATGCGGATTATTTACAAACCCACGAACGTCCTCCCCACGTTCATTCGCTGGCGCTGGCTCAACGTACCACCGATTATGCCACAAAATTTTGGGCTGAATTTTTCGGTAGTCTCCACATTGGAGTTGCATTTGTGGTCACATTTCTTCTGCAGAGCTATCGTTTCATTCTATATTCTCTGGTCAATACTCTCATGGTGGGGCTACTGCACATGACATCGGATTATTTGCTGAAGCCATTGCTGACGGTGGCATTTAATGGATTTCTCCAACCTCCAATGATATTTTGTTTTAATACCTTGTCATCGATGCGAGATATTCTGGAACCCATTGCGGATACTTTGAATAATTTCGCGAAACCCATTGCCACTGTGGGTCGGAGTGTACGCCTGGTGCACGCCACCTATAATAAGAAAAATATTACCAAAAATGTTTGAATTTTTCTTTTGTTATATTTTATATTTATGTATATTTATTAATTTATGTATTAACTAATTAAATCCTTCCTTATTCGCCTCAATTAAAAGAAATTCTACAATTAATCTGTAAGCAATGGATTTTTTACGATACGTCGCCAACTAACTGCATGTTTTCTGGATTTACGAAACATTTGAAGATGCTTGGCAACACTAAATGCCTTTATAATGTAACATTGACTTATAAACTAATGATTTACTCTATTTAAAATTTGCTTACCTGGATCATGTGTCAAGTTCTAAAAATATGTTAATTAAATATTTTCATTAATTGATTATTTAATATAAAAAACTCGCTAATTAGTTATACATTTCGTCAAGGAAAATACCCTTTTTTAAATTACAGTGGCAGCTAGCTGTATGCTTGCTTTATTAGGGGTTTGGCAACTCCTTTCAACTGTTAGTGTTATCATTTTGATATTGCCTATTAACGGTCAAATAACATGCACTTTTCTCAGAAAAATTCCCTTTAACGTTTTTATTTAATTTTTTGATATTTAATTCAAAGAATTTTTAAAATGATAAATTTATTGCAATAAGAAATGCCTTTCTTTTCCTTATATACAATTAATGCATGCTTGCCTTGTTAAAAACCCATCCCCTGAGGGTTGACCACTCCGTTCTCTTTTAGTGTTCTCAAGCCGATATTTACTATTTATTCTTAAATAAAATGTACATTTCCCTTTAAATAAAAAACATAGAAAGTAATTTTATTTATTTTTGTATTATTTTGTTGTTTATTAATATTTTTTTTTGCTTTACGTTGCCAACACATTCAACTTATTTACGACACATCCCATGAGGGTTGGCAGCTCCATTCGCATTTAATTTGTTATTGACTATAAACTGTTAAATAACATGCATTTATTAGAAAAAATACTTTATTATTTTTAATATATGTTCTTTGTTTTGTTTTTAAATGACATTAAAAATTGTATAATAATTTAAATATTCCTTTAAGCAGTTCGTTACTTTACAGACGTTGCCAACTAAATGCATTCTTATCATGTTAACTTTACCCATACCATGAGGGTTGGCAACTCGATTTGGTGTTATCAATTTGACATCGTCTGTCAAAAACATTTGCCAAGTTCTCAGTAAGTTTTAGATTTTGCGAAAAAAAGAATTTATTTATTAAACGTGAAAGCACAATAAAACATTAGTTTTTTTTATACAAACTATACACTGCATGTTGTTGCTTTTTTGTACTAACTAGTTTTATACGCAACATTTATACAAATCATCAACAAGAGACTGTAAAGGACCACATACAATATAAAAAGGCCATTAGAAAATAAAAAGACTGCATTCATTTTATTGTGTGAAAGTGTTGTTGTTCGGGTCGGTCAAGGTTAAAGGTTGTGCACAAAGATAACAGCTACAGCGAACAAAAAAACATCGTGTGTAATTTTGTGAAATGCATACCCTATGGCAACGTTTCCAAAATAGTGTCTTGCAAAATTTAACTGCAACATATTTTCGAGGTTTGTCTTCTTCATCAGCCATCAGTAGTGGAGGCTGCCGGCCGGCCCATACCCATGGGGCACGGTGGTGGTTTGGGCCTCATTGTTGCATGCCAAACAAATATCCAATGTTATTACGACATAATCATGTTTGGGTAAACAGGTGATGGTGCTGTTCTTACCGGTCGTTGTTGTTGTTGTCGTTCTGTGGTGGTGATGTTGTGGACGAGGCGTCTAACCGCCCAAGTGTTTGTTGTGTATCGTCATCATCGTATCGATATTGTAAATAATATTTTGTTTGTTTATCTTTGTTTTAAGTACTAATTTTTATTGTTTTCTGTTTATATTTCATGATGGCTGGATATTGTTTAGAATGAATTTTGTGTTCATTTGCTGCATGGCTTGCTATTGTTTATTTGTTTACTGCTGCTACTAATGAGCTGGACAGTGTCTCACCATAAATTTCCGCAGTTGCATCTTCATACGGGAATATATAAACAAATTGGGAAAAATATTTTCATTTCATGGTAATCGAAATTACATGTAGAATTGGCCAAGGTCCATTTGATTATCAGCGGGATAAGCAGCAGCGATTAGTGTGGCCAAGATATGGCATGTTGCAGTGTTATCTGTAATATCTCTTATCGCATAGGGGAGATTGTGAAAATAGTACCTATTTGTTAGGCGCAATTCTAATTTTAGGCCTTTGGCACGTATGCAGATAAAAATTGGTGATATATTCAATGACAGCTCAATGTAAACAAGATAGATACCGATACGGTAACAGCATAATGTCATTTTCCTCATAAAAATCGTTTAAGAGAGAGTTACATAGACTATTGACGAGCTGAAGGAATCATTCGGATGGACCAGGGGCAGTATAGGGAATCTTCAATGGAGGTAACGTTTTTTTTATAGAAAAGCTGAGGGTGTCATACACTGAAGTTCTGGAAGCAAGGCTTTCACAGACGATATACATATATTTTTGCCTCTTAAACTTATCGTCCCCACATGGAATCGTGGAGGCAAGTTTATATATTTTTTAACGAACCTTAATATTTCATAATTCATTTCATAGATTACCAAGTAGCTTCTTCATAGATGAGTAGATCCTTCTAAGGAAAATCTGAAATAATGTTATAAAGAAGGTGAATAGAGGCTTGTATATGATCCCCAATCAAACTAGTGAGAGCTTTAAATATCTAACCCAAGGAAAGTCTTAAGGGAGACAAGTTAATGGGTTCATGTATAAACGAGATGACCGCAAGGAAAATATTATTGGGGATCTGAAGTGATCTTGTTGATGTATTGAACAGAAGCTTGAATTCTACAGTTGAGAAAATGAGAGTTTCAAATATCTTACTTCAGTTAAGTTTTTCATAGATTCGATGAAAACACTTTTGGTAAAGGTACACCAAAGGCCAAAAGACCTTTAAAATGCAGCGATTTTTTTAGAGGCGCGTTAGGACCTACAAGTCTTTCACAGACAAATTTTGGGCTCAAAAGTGTCTCAAATAAAACTTGAAGCTCACGAAGTCTTCAATTTGTAGGATTTCTATGTAAAAGGCAAATCTTCGCCTAATAGACGAACGAAAGGCAGTATTTTTACACCATCAGAGGGCAGTTTGTAATATCCAACCTATTTGCAATGTCTTTTGAAGGTTTTTCGGTCTGTTGGAGACCTTCACAAGATCTTATGTAGAAGATATTTTGTCTATATAAGACATTCTGAAGGTTTTCTGTCTTTGAAGACATTCTGAGGGTCTTCTCACTTTAAAAAAGACGAACTGAAGCAGAATGTTTACAGCATAAGAGGCAGTTTATAATATCCAACCTATTTGCAATCAATTATAGGCGACCTGTGAAAACAAGTCTTCCACATTGAGTATAAAGAAGTCCTCGAAAATCAAGTGAACGTCTGTTGAAGACCTACTAAAGGTTTTCTGTCTGTTGGAGACCTTCAAAAGATCTTCTGTAGAAGATATTTTGTCTATATAAGACATTCTGAAGGTTTTTTTTGCCTATGAAGACATTCTGAGGGTCTTTACACGTCAAAAAAGACGAACTGAAGGCAGTATGTTTACAGCATCAGAGGCAGTTTATGATATCTAACTATCTGCAATCATTTATAGGCGACCTGTGAAAAAGTCTTCCTCATGGAGCATTCAGAAGTCCTCGAAAATCAACGTCTGTTGAAGACCTACTAAAGGGTTTCTGTCTGTTGGAGACCTTCACAAGGTCTTCTGTAGGAGATATTTTGTCTTTATAAGACATTTTGAAGGTTTTCTGTCTATGAAGACATTCTGAGGGCCTTCTCACTTTAAAAAGGCTTCTTGAAGGCTTTTTGTCTGCTAAAGCCCTTCTGAAAGTTTCTTGTCCACACAAGACTTTTTTGTTTGGAGAAGACATTCACAAGGATTTTCTGTCTGGTCTGTCTATGAAGACATTCTGAGGGTCTTCTTACCTTAAAAAGTCTTTTTGAAGGGTTGTTTTATGCTAAAGCCCTTCTGAAAGTTTCTTGTCCACACAAGACTTTTTTGTTTTGAGAAGACATTCACAAGGATTTTCTGTCTGGTCTGTCTATGAAGACATTCTGAGGCTCTTCTCACTTTAAAAATTATTCTGAAAGTTTCTTGTCCACACAAGACTTTTTTGTCTGGATAAGACATTCACAAGGATTTCTGTCTGTAGAAGACCTATTGAGGCTCTTTTGACCTTCAAAGCGTATTTTGCGTAGAAAACACCTACAGGGCGTATTTAATCCAGGACTTTCTTAAGACCTCCTTCCTATAGAAGAAATATGGGTTGTTTGTTTATTGAGCTCTACTACCTACTGAAGTCCTTCTGTCTATGAAAAGCATTTGAAGATATTTTTTGTCTGTTGAAGTTCTCCTGATGATTTTCCTGGTTTTTGGTGACATTCAGAAGGGTTTTCATGCATAGAAATCTTCTGTTTATTGTAGACCGCCGGGCCTTAATGCCTACTGCCTATCATATGAACTGCTTTCTCTTATTGTTTTCGTTTTGTGTTTTTATTAAATTCCAGTTATTAGTTTGTCAATGAGTTGCTGCTCGCGTTGCCAACACTTCAGTGTTTATGTCTTGACTGTTGCCTTTGCTAGCATTTGTTGACATGACTTGTAGATGGCGTTGCTAAAAATTAATTTAGTAATTATCGTTGTTTTGTGTATTATTTGTAATTTTAATAATTGTTAACTTTTATTAATTTTTAAATACATTGTTTCTTTACAGCTCAAAAACTGCGCAAAGTAGGATTCAGAGGCATGCATACGTAAGTAATATTAACCTATAGATCATAGGGCTTCCAATTGCAATCCTTAAACAAATGAAAAATAAAATTAGTAATGAAATACTTTTAAACAATTTTTGAAAGCTTTATGGTTATAGGTTCTAATTTCTAATCTAGTTTTGAAGCATTAAATTAATTAATGTTTTTGTCTTTCAGATCTGTGGAGGATTTAAAAATGGCCAACATGAAGGTCAAAATATTGCCAGCCTTACAGGACAATTACATGTATTTGGTGAGTAGAAGAATTAGAGAAATTCATTTCATATAATTTTCATTAATTTCCCATATTACTCTCCCTTTACAGATCGTTTGTGATGCCACCAAAGAGGCGGCAATTGTTGATCCCGTCGATCCAGAGTGTGTTCTCGACGCCGTTAAGCAAGAACAAGTAAATCTTACCAAAATCCTAACCACCCATCATCACTGGGATCATGCCGGCGGCAATGAGAAACTTTTGAAAATGTGTCAAAAATCCCTACAAGTCTATGGAGGTGATGAACGCATCGGTGGTCTCAACTGCAAAGTGAAACAAGATGATTCCATACAAATTGGTGATCTGAAAGTGACCTGTCTTTTTACACCCTGTCACACAACTGGTCATATTTGCTATTATGTTGAGGCACCGAATGGAGAGCGCTGTGTATTCACCGGTGATACTTTGTTCCAGGGTGGATGTGGTCGTTTCTTTGAGGGCACGCCCGAACAAATGTATTCGGCCCTGATTGAGAAATTGTCGGCTTTGCCCGATGATACAAAGGTTTTCTGTGGTCATGAATATACCCTACAAAATATGTCCTATGCCCGGCATGTGGAACCCCTCAATGAGGATATACAAAAGCGTATTGAATGGGCCAAATTACGTCGCGCCACCAAATCGCCCACAGTGCCCTCAACAATTGCCGAGGAGAAGTTATGGAATCCATTTATGCGTGTCCATGTGGCCAGTGTCCAGAAACATGCCCAGCAATCGGAACCCATTGCCACCATGGGTAGTTTGCGCAAGGAAAAGGATAATTTTAAGGGTTAGTTTGTTAAGTGCATTTCCAATGGCTATTTCTTTTGGGGATGGTTGTTTTGTTTTTGTTTGTTTATTTGTCTGTTTTGAAAACAAAGTGTCGCGAGTCTTTTTTTTAAGTTATTGGTAAACAATATTTTTTGGATTCTTGTAATAATTTAACCAAACAAAATTTCTTATTTCAGCTCATTTGTAAAATGTGTGTCCGTAATTTATTTTGTAAAAATTTATTAAGAATTTAATTTACAAAAAAAAAGTAATGCGCACAATTGGAATGTCAAATCCTTTCGAGGAAATTGTAAGTGATAAAATTTTAAATAGTAATTTGTAATTTTGTTTTCAGTTTGAAATTGGAAAGTCTGTGAATATTTTTTGAAAAAATAAATATGGATTTGATCACAATTATGGATAACAAAATGATACTGCCACTGGAGTTTTTATGACAAAAATTAATTAATTTTTGTTCTCAATAAATCAAAAGCTACAAATTGTATTGCTATGTAAAGAAACGAAGCTCATTTTGCATTGGCGTTCTTAGAAGCCTTCTTTGGATCCGACATGATTATGCACCAAAGTTAATTCTGAGATTTGATATTTTTTTAACGTATATTTATTTATCATATTTTCTAGAGTCAAGGGAGGCATCTTGAAAGCAAGACATTAGAAATACTAAATTGACTCAAATCTCCCATTACGGGTTTAATTAAAACCATTTCTCCATCTCTAGAAATTAACTAACTTTTTTTTATTATTGTTTGCATAGCAATTTTGTTTTATTGCAAAACAAAAAAAAGGTTGAATCTACAATAAAAATTCCAACCTGTCAAGTTTTTTTATCTAAACACTTGCAAGACATTGGAATGCAGCAGAAGGTTTGCATTTGCTTTCAAAATAGAACGTTATAATTAAAAAAAAAAAACAAAATACAAAAGAGATTATCTCATTTTTATCGGTCGCCATAAACAGCGCGAGATAAGAAGCTGGAGGGGATTTATTTTTTCTATTCGTTTTATCAAAAATGTTGACAAGTGAAAATAAATTCTTTTAAAGATTTTTCATGATTGCATCTCGGCTAATAATTAGAGTAAATAGATATAAAAATTCCTCCATACTCAGCACCTCTCTATAAATAGGGGCTGGAGGGAGGCATGTATTTGGCCTCATAGACGAACTGATGGCAGTATTTTTACACGATCAGAGGGCAGATTATGTTATTCAACCTATTGTCAATCAATTATAGATGATCTGTGAGAACAAGTCCTCCACATGGAGATGATATTAAAAAGTTTATATGAAGATGTCCTCGAAAATCTATTGACGACCTATTGAACAACTATTGACGACCTTCTGAACATCTATTGACGAACTACTGAACGTCTATTCAAGGCCTCCTAAAAGTTTTCTGTCTGTTTTGAGGGTCAGACTTTCCGAGGTTCTCTCGTCTACAAAATATTGGTAGAAGTCCATCGCTGTTTCGTTATAGAAAACGTTTTGAAGGTATTTTTTCTATAAAGATATTCTGATGGGTTTCCCACGTTATAGAGACTCCCCGAAGCTATTTGTCTGCTAAAGCCCTTCTGAAAGACCTTTTGCCGAAATAAGACATTCACAAGGGTTTCCGTTTGTAGAAAATCTCTTGAGGCTCTCTTGACCTTCAAAGAGTATTTTGTGTAGAAAATACCTACAGGGCATATTCTTATCCAGGAAATTTGTAAGATCTCCTTCCTATCAAAGAAATATAGATCTGTTGTTTATTGAGCCCAATGTCACCTTAAGCCCTCTTTATTATTGATGACCTTCTGAAGTTATTCTCTCTATAGAAAGCCTTCTGAAGAACTTTTGTCTATTGAATTTCTCCTCGTGATATTCCGGTTTTTTGGTGACATTTAATGTCCGGAGGTCTCCAATAAACAGAAGATATCTGGAGATTTTTGTGTATGAAAAATATAAATTTTCAGATATTTTTTGTTTATTGAAGACATCCGGAACCTATTGCCTATCCTGTGCAACCTGTGAAGATCTTTGGACAATATTATCAAATGGCCTTCTCTTATCCTTTCGGCTACATTTAAGCTTTATGTTTGTTGCTCGTAGTTCTGTCATTTCCCACTTTTTTTCTTCTAATAACTGGACATATTTATTAGACACGGCTATTTCTAAAGGTGGGAATACATAAAGGGACACTGGCAATACATTGATTCTGAAACGGATGACGATTGAAGATGTTACAAAGAAGATTTAGTGTTGAAATGAGGCTTTAAGGTCATCGTTTGGCTTCTTCGTAGAGGAAGAAAGGAATTTTAGGTTGACTTAGTCCAATTTGTTTCTAGGCACCTTTGTTAATTTCCGAAGAAGCCATCCGATTGCCTAAGCCAGTCAAATAAGCGCTTTATGTATTCCCACCTTAAAGCCTCGTTTAAACTCTGAATATTCTTTTCAACATCTTCAAGCGTCATCCGTTCCGGAATCAATGTATTGCCAGTGTCCCTTGCTAAAGCCTCGTTCACGTACATTTTTGACACCTCTAGTGCCGATAAATCTATTGTCTGTCTTGTGTTGTAGACAGAAGTAGTAAATTCTCAATTTTTTAGCATGGAAGTCTCTCTCACCTGGTTTAATAGAATAGCATGTTTTTACGTTTCGTCATCTTGTGACCAACTTCATTGCAGGCATTGTACGACTCCTATATATGGCTGAGTCCTTCTTTTACTTTCGTCATTCGTCCTCCTTGGGACTTATAGCCTCACCCATTCTGACTGAAGATCTTACATATGAAGACCCCTCGGTAAGTGTGTACAGAAGTCTATTTCTGACTTATAGCTTCACCAACTCTAGCTGAAGATCTCAAATATGAAGCTCCCTCGGAAAGTGTGTAGACCACCCTCTCAGTCTTCTCTGCTGAAGACTCTATCAGACTAAGCATCATTTTTATTGGATGATAAATTTCCTCTCTGTGGGAGCAATTGCAGCTATAGTTTTAGCCCGGTAATGTTCCGTTCTTAAAGGCAACTTTTAGGCCCAGTTGACAGAATTTCCACGACGTTAAGGCTAATTCTTCAACATTTATGCGGAGTTTTTTTATCCAATATCGGCCACATTTTTATTGGCTGATAAATCTCCTCTATGTGAGAACAATGTCAGCTATAGTTGTAGCCCGGTAACGTTTCATTCATTCATGTTTAGCCTAGCTGACAGAATTTTCTCGACGTTAAGACAAATTCTTCAACTTCAATGCGGAGATTGTTTTTATCCACTATCGGCCACATTTTTATTGGCTGATAAATTTCCTCTCTGTGGGCACAATTCCAGCTATAGTATTAGCCCGGGAATTTTCCACTCTTGAAGACAATTTTTAGCCTATTTGACAGATTATCCTCGAAGTTAAGACAAATTCTTCAACATCTATGTGGAGATTTTTTTCTCTCTGTGGGAATAATTCCAGCCATAGTTTTAGCCCGGTAATGTTTCACTCTTGAAGATAATTTTTAGCCTAGCTGACAGAATTTTCACGACGTTTAGGCAAATTCTTCAACATTTATGAGGAGATTTTTTTCTCTCGGTCACTGATTCGTCTCGAAGGACCAATCTAAATAGGGATATCTTAAAAGACCACGCTTCTTCCTTGCTAACAATTTTTTAAATCATGGTATTTTATGAGGCCATTGAATTATTGCCGGATTAAAGATGTAGGTATATAAGCAGCTTGAAGTCTTCGCATGATATCGTAGAGATACCAAAGCCGCGCTTGAATTCTGTCGTTATTTCCTTTACATGATGTCAAGCTGCTTATGTACCCTCGCCTTAAAGGTGTAAGTACATAAGAAGCTTGAAGTCTTCGTCTGGCATATTTTATGACATATCATGAAGGAATGCCAGAGCCACTAATATGCCTATCCATGATGCCAAGCTGCTTATGTATCCTCCACCTAACACAAATAAGCAAAGCAATCTGGTAATCATCATGATCATCACGAAGAGTGTACATTTTTTAGACCTATTTTTTTCTTTTTATTTCATTTTACTTATGGCGCTATCCCCATTTTCTGGAAACTTGTGGATTGGCACAAATTTTAAAATGAATTAATTTTTGATCTCAATAAATTCAACTATACAGAGCTACTCACACCTAAACTCTCTTTCCCACTTTTGCCCATTTTTGAGGTTATATCACTTAAGCATCACCAACTGAAGCTTTAAATATAAATGACAATTGTTACGCTTTAACTTCATGACACATGCAATTTTTAACTTTTCCCTCGCTCTCTCTCTCTCTCTCTTTGCCAAGAATGTTGCAAAACATTTTTCTACAGGATATGTGTGTGTCCTCTATCATGTTACAATAGTTTATGTGGTTCCACTGGATGAGTGAGTGACTAGAACCATTCCCCCTTTTTTTTAAGTTACTCACACACAAAACCACAGAGTAGAAAACTTCGCAAGTTATTTCAATACAAAGTGCAAGCAATACATCATATGAAGTAAAATGACAGAATAAAGGATCGGGGGAATGCAAAAATGACAAGCATGTTGCTGCTGCAATGGCTGTATACTCTTGTACACACAATAAATAAACTCTATTTCAGGATACACCCTTTGAGATGGAGAAGCATATCAAAACAGCAAAGGAATTTAGAGTGTTTGTTTTTGGTGTGTGTAATGTTCTAAGTTATTTCGAAGGGAGAGCGAGGGGTGGTGTGAAAAAGATTAAGGAGATTTTCGGAAAGAGAAGTGTTTTTGGATCGAGTTCAAATATAGTATTTGGGGGCTATTTCCGAAGAAGTACGTCTAGGTAAGTTCGAAGATGAAAGTAATAAGAAATCAATTTTTGTTCTCAATAAACAATACGAAGTGATACTTTTCAGGAACCATACGAGAGATATTCAATCAATTTTCGTTCTCAACAAAAAATACACTTTGAAAAAATAGGAAAGGCCTATACGAACATTAATCGAGGATTTTTTTTAATAAGAATTCTTTATAATCGTAAATTTTTTAATGAATGCTATAAATATGCTAGAATAAAGAGGGTAAATAGTCTCTTCCAGAGCTGCAAGAATGCAAAACTTTACTTTAAGATATCGAAAAAATTGCAAAACTAGTAGATTATTGCAAGTTCTGGAACAGAGCAAAAGTCATGCAATAATTTTACAATTTTTTCAAAATTATACGCATAACATCAACATTTCTTGTCAAAATTTAGGCTCATAAATCCATTATATATACACAAATCAGAGATGGGAATCTGTTTTCTGTGCCGGAAATTTTGACAAAGGAAATAACAAAAAAATCAGGGATGGACATGCTTATTTGAAATGACTTTGTTTTCTTAATTTTACCTTGGCCTAAACTATGGAAAAATTAAGAAGGTAAAGTCATTTAAGATAAGCATTCCCATCTTTGCATTTTCTGTTATTTACCTTGTCAATTTTTACTGCATAGAAAGCAGGTTCCAATCTCTGATTTGTGTATGTACAATAGATTTATAAGTAAACATTTTGAAAATGAGATGTCAAATGAATAATATTGAAAAATTTGTAAAGATATGATTCCAGGACTATACCTTCCTTTTTCAACCATGGCCTTAAGGTATCATCCTCAGAGTTGTTACCGCAAGTTTTTTAAGAAAAATTTGTTTTAGAGAATATTTTTGTGGGAGTTATAACCGTGAATATTATCAGGTTATTTTTAAGCAAAAGGTCGGATCGCAATCAACTTTTGTTCTCAATAAAAAATTTGAACTGAAATAATATTTTAAGGATTATCAGACCAACAATTGAGAAGTTTTTTAGAGAATATTTTCAACAGCCCACGAAGCTTTAATCGTGGATTAAAAAATAGGTTTTAAGCACCAACTTTTATTGGAGATTTTTAAAGAAAAAGGTGTTATGGCAAAATTAAGAAACAAAAGTTTTTAACATTAAAAACCTCAGATTTAAAACACCCTAAAAATGCAAAATATTCAATACCTTTATTATTGTCGTATCGTGGATTTTTAAACACTAAAAGGATTTTTTTAAAGATAGCCTCAAAGGTACTATCGTGGATTTTTGAGGAATATTTTACTAAGCATTCACGGAGCTATTGCCGTAGTTTTTTTTTTTAGGAAAAAAGAGGAAACACAGTTCGAATCACTTTTTGCTAATTTCTGGAAAAATATCTGAATTTTTAAGGAATACAAGGAATGATGAAAAATCTGCAACCAACTTCAGACTGTTGTCATTTCAAAGCCACTCGTCTGGCAGCTGTTAAAATTATTCCAGTGACAGCTCATTATATTGTTCATAAGCGTACAAATACATTTTGATGTGAAATTTCCAGAAAAAAAGTTATTCGTGATGGAATTCAAGCGTGATTGTGTGATTTCTTTATATTTGGCTGGAAACCCACAAGTGACTATCGTTAGAGCACTCCAGTATTTAAATGTGAATAAATCTTTGGGGTCTCGTACTATCGCTCGTTACCGTGATACTGGTAGCGTAGCCCGACGTCAAGGAAGAGGACGGAGATGGAAGAAAAAAGCAACTTTAGCAGAAATGTTTAGAAAAGTAAAGAAGCGACTTGATCGAAACCCGCGTCTCAGTAGCCGATAATTGACTCGTGAGCTAAACATAACAGTATTCCATTTGCCAAATATTAAAAATTGAGCTCGGGGTAAAGCCATTGAAATTCCAAAAAGTGCAAGAACTTACACCGCAACAGAAAGAAAATGGACTCAAAAGAACAAAAGAGTTGCTTTGCTTGGCCGAAAGTGGCGTCCAGCAGTTTGTAAACAAAGAAAATGATCGTGTTTACTTGCCAAAGAGGTCAGCTGAAAATGTGCAGCTTCGATTGGCCACCAGAACTCAAGCGCCGGCCACGGTGATGGTGTGGGCCGCCATAACAGCCGCTGGACGCTCTGCGCTCGTAATAATCGACCGTGGCATCAGAATAAATGCCGAATATTATCGGGAAAATATTCTGGAGGGTGTATTAAAGCCTTGGGCAGGCAAACATAACTGCCGATGGTCGCTCTCCGTTCGTATTAATCCGACCGTGGCATCAGAATAAATGCCGAATATTATCGTGAAAATATTGTGGGGGGTGTATTAAAGCCTTGGGCACGCAAAGCAAACATTTTGGCCGCGGACCTTGGACATTCCAACAGGACTCAAATGAGGTTCCTCGCTTCATTTCCAGCGCACAACGGCCACCAAAATCTCCGGATACCAATCCGTTTGACTATTGTGTCTGGAGTATTTTGGAAAGCAAGGTTGGCACTAAAAAATACCAAAGTGTCGATCACCTCAAGCAAGCGCTTCGCCGGAAATGGGCCAAAATACAACAGAGAAAAAATGTAAAAAAAACTTTTAGGAAAAATACAGAATTAATTTTTGTTCTCAATAAACGATACGAACTGATTGAATATACTTAATCTTATCCGAGCTATAAATGTTAAATTTTTCAAGGACATATTTCTCAGATGATTTCAATGCCATAATTTTTTTAAGAATACTTTTTTCAAGTCCTTAAAATCGTGAAGTACTCAAATAATTCCAAAGGTCTTTAAATCGTTCGGAAAGCTCTCAAAATCGTAGACTATTTAAATAATATATTTTACTCATGCCCTAAATTTTTTTAAATAATATTTTTTTGAAAGCCCTATGAACTTGAATTTTTAAAAACATATTTCTCAAGAAGCCTTAAATTTTGGGAATTTTTAAAGAATTTTTTTTTTTTCAGAGGACTTCAAATTTTTACAGACGATTTTTTTTAAATCCCTAAAATCTGAGAGTTCTGTTGAATATATTTTTCAAAAGTCAAAAGATAGTAGATTTGGTAAAGAATATTTTTCCTAAGACAATGGATTTTTCACCCCCTTTTTTTCAATAGACCAAAGATTGAAGATTTTTTAAATGATTTTTTCTTTCAATGAGGACTAAGGTCCTGAAGTGAAAATTGTTCTTTCAAGAGGCAAAAAATTGGGGATATTTTTAAAAGAACCGTTTAGGAAGAAGTCCTAGAATCGGAACCATTTTTTGAAAATAAAATGTTAATTTTTCAAGGAGGATCTTTTTCAGAAATATTAAGGCGGATTAAAAACAGCTCTCTTAGTAGCCCTAAAATCATGAATTTTGGATTTTTTTCAAAGCAATTGAAGTGCTTTTATGTTCCAAATCCTATCATACCTTTCCCCATCCTAGCTGCCCCAACAAAGTAACCTTTCCGAAAATCCTGAAGTAGTTGCAGTAAGCAAGTAGTGTCATAAGTGATGGTACTTGGTTTAAAATAAACTTTGTAGTAAAGGATGGCAAAAGTAATATTACATCTTCTTGACATAACAACATGCAAAGTGGTGGAATGCAGGATAAAACATCTTGGCACCGACCTGAAGGGAACTTGAAACAAAAGAGGGGAAACGAGGAGAAAAACAATAAATGATTTTTCCACACCATTTATTAGCAAAACAAAAAAAAAACGGAAGATATTTTATTTCCATGCCAACCAGACAACAAAAAATTTAGTGAATTTTTATTTTCAGTTTTCTTTCTTCTTTTTCAGCCACTTCCTTCAAATTCGTCTGGCAACAATGGCAGTTACCGTGTAATAAACTCCACCATGATTTGATTTCCTTGAGGAAGTTTTCAACATTTTCCGGACTCTGAAATATATTGGGATCGACTTGCAAGTTGGTGTCATTAAGGATTTTCCATTTTTTCATGCTGCGCACCACATCGCCACAGAATGTGGTAGGTTCGGGTTTACACAGGCCGCGATATTGTTGGGAAAATTCTGCGAAGGAAGGAAGGAATTAATGAGGTAAAATGAAATAAAAAGAAAAAATTTTGAGATGGAAAATGGAATTAAAATGAAGAGAAAAGTAAAATGAAATGAAAAGAAAAAATGAGACAGGGAACGAAAAAAAGAAGATCGAGCAATAAAAGGAAAACAAATTAAAAGTAAATAAAAATCAAAAATATCCCAAGGAAAATCAACAACGAGAAGGAAACTGAGAAAATGTGAAAGTAAAATGAAATAAAAAGAAAAAAATTGAGATGGAAAATGAGATTAAAGGAAAAGTAAAATGAAATAAAAAGAAAAAATGAGACAAGGAACGAAAAAAAGAAGATAGAGCAATAAAAGGAAAACAAATTAAAAAGAAATGAAAAATAAGAAAATATCCCAAGGAAAATCAACAACGAGAAGGAAACTGAGAAAAATAACAAAGTAAAATGAAATAAAAAGAAAAAATTTGACATGGAAAATGAAATTAAAATGAAGAGAAAAGTAAAATGAAATGAAAAGAAAAAATGAGACAAGGAACGAAAAAAAGAAGATCGAGCAATAAAAGGAAAACAAATTAAAAAGAAATGAAAAATAAGAAAATATCCCAAGGAAAATCAACAACGAGAGGGAAATTGAGAAAATGTCAAAGTAAAATGAAATAAAAAAACCCCCCTGATTTTAAGACCTACTCGACTTCCGTTTCACATTCTTGATCCTGGGATCACGCCGGCTGGCCTCCTCATACATCCGCAGGATTTTATTCATTCTACGATCAGCATCCTTTTCATTATACAGTGGCATACATTTGGGCATACAAGCGTTGTGAATATTGGGCCCAGGGAAAGGTAGGCGGGTACCATGAGCCGACTTTTCAAATTGTTTTCGACCCTCCTTTATTTGATTTTGACGAAAATCATGGGCCTTACGTACCCGTTCCGTACAGGTCTTAAAGGTCATGGAAGCCAACAGGGCCTCTACTTTAGAAAGGGCACTGAAATCTTAGTGAATTAAAAAACAATCCCATATTCCCTTTTCCGAAAACCCCTTTACCTTGAGTTCCTCAGCGAATAGACTCCCGGTATTTGATGGGTCCGCAGCAAATGATGTAGCTTAAAGGCCACACAGTGCAATAAATCCTCTCCAGCCATTAGCTGTAGGCGCACCAGCTTTGTGTGATCGTGAATGTGCTCACGAACCCACCAACCACGCCAGAGGGCCTGGATTTTTTGAGCTGACTTGTAGTAGTGTTCTTCGATCCTTTGCTGAACCAAATCCTCCAATTTGCGGTAATACAAACGGCAGGCATGGAAACGACGCCATTCCGTTTGTATGATAATGGTGGCCCATTTTAGACGCCGAAATCGGGTGCGGGCCAACCAGCCTCGCACAAAACGCTGAATACAGCGGGCCGCTTTGAATTGCCGATAATCCAAGAGAAGCAAAGAGGTTCTGGAAGATTCACACTTTTAGATTTTTGAGAATTTTAGCAAAAATTTTACCTTGACAGCATGGCATGGATATTTTGCGACGATCCCTCTTCATTTTGTTCTGCTTCATAGTCGACGCTCTCATAATTGTTGCTCTGACCTTCAGAGGATATTTCTTCGATTTTCAACGATTTCTTGGAGGTCTTTAGAGAAATATTCGATTTGCCAGATTTTTTGAGAGTTTTCGTATCGCTACTGGGAAGGGTGAGGGAGTTCAGGCGGGATTTTCGGCTTCTTTTTGGTGCCATTTTCGATGGAAAGAATTGGAAATATATTTTATATTTCAAAAAAAAAAAAAAAAAAAAAAAAATAAATAAATAAATTGAAAATAATTCCAGGGTTTTAGATTTTTTATTTTGTTTTGAAATATTTCCAGGGATGGGAATATATATTTCTTTAAGAATAGATTCAGATTTATTTTCCCAAAGGTGTCCAAAAGATTGTCTACTTGAATAGGTATCTGAAGGTCTCTAAAGACTTTGGAAAAGGAAGATTTTCATAATTTTTTTTTTTGATGCAACTCCCATCCTTGGATTTTTTTTGCAATATTTTGAAAAAAAAAAAAAAACAAAATACGAGCTCTTTTCTTCCAACATTTTCAAAATATTGTCAACTTGAATAGGTATCTGATACATATTTTTAGATACATCTTCTCAAAATTTTGAAAAAAAAACCGTAACCCAACCTCATTTCTCTTAATCTAGAAGTCTCGAAAGACGTCTGAGATAATCGAGGATTTTTGTAATTAACTCCAAACCCTGGTATTTTTGGAAAATTAAAAAAAACTAGGTGAACAAATATTGTCTTTATTAATGGCTATCCGAGAAAAGGGAGGATTACTCCCAACCCTGGTATTTTTCGCAACATTTTGAATAAAAAAAAAACTAGATAAATAAGGATTGTCTAATTGAAAGGGTATCTGAAAGTCGCCTCAAAAGACGTCGGAGAAAAGGAAGGATTATTCATTTTTTGATACAACTCCCAACCCTGGTATTTTCGACACACTTTGAATTAAATAATAAAAATCGAACGGGTTTTCCCCAAGCTGACGGTCTCTTAAGACGTCTGAGAAATGGAATGATTATTCATTTTCCGATACAACTCCCAACTCTGGTATTTTTGCGACATTTTGAAAGAAAATAGAAATCATTTTTTTCCTGAAAAAAAGTTTGTCTACCCGAATGGGTATCTGTAAATCTCTTAAGACTTTTGAGAAAAAAGGAGGACTGTTAATTTTAAGATGCAACTCCCAGCCCTGGTATTTTTTGAATAATTAAAAAACAAAAAAAAAAAAAACAAATTTAAGCATTTTTTGTCCTAACCTGAAAGTCTCTTAAGACCTCTTAAAAGGGAAAGATTATTAAGTTTTTGATACAACTCCCAACCCTGATAATTTTTTTTCAATATTTTGAAAGAAAATAGAAATGAAATTTTTTTCCTAAAAAGGTTTGTACATGGGTCGAATGGACCCATGTCTCCAAAGACGTCTGACAAAATGTAGAACTCCCAGCCCTGGTATTTTTTGTAAAACTTCGAAATAAATAAAACAAAATCAAGGGTATTTTTTCCTAACCAGAAAGTTCGTTAAGACATCTGAGAAACGGGAAGATAATTAATGTTGTAGATAAAACTCCCAACCCTGGATTTTTTCCGCAATATTTTGAAAGAGAATAGAAATGAAAGTTTTTCCTAAAAAATTGTTGTTTACTCTGAATGCATCTGAATGCCTCTAAAGACGTCTTAGAAGATGGAGGAGATTAATTTTTAGATGAAACTCCCAACCCTGGTATTTTTGGAAAATTAAAAAAAAAGAAAACTTAAGCGCATTTTTCAGTAACCTGAAAGTATGTGAAGACATCTGAAAAAATTAAGGAATTTTATTTTTTCAATAAAACTCCCAACCCTGGTATTTAATACATAATTTCTAGATAAACAGTAAAAATCCAAGTCCATTTTCATCCAAAGTGACCGTCTCTAAAGGCTCCTGAGAAAAAGGAAGGACTATTGATTTTTAGATACAACTCCCATCCCTGGTATTTTTCGCAAAACTTAGAAAATAAATAAATTCAAGGGAATTTTCGCTAACCTGAAAGACTTTGAAGACGGCTAAGAAAGGGAAGGATTAGTGATTTGTAGGTGCAACTCCCAACCCCGACATTTTTCGCAATGGGCAGTTGCAACTTTTCTTATCTTCCAATTTTTTTTTGGAACCCAAAGGAAAAGTAAATTCAAAAAAATCTAAGAAAAGAAAAAATGCGAGATAAAATTAAAGAAGAAAACGGAGAAAGATGAAGCAAAAATACAAAGTAAAATGAAATAAAAAGAAAAAATTACCCCCACAATTTTAAGTCTCATTTTCAACATCGAGTTAGTCCGTCAGAATAGGGGTTTTCCCTTATGAAAATTTCAAGGGAGAAGGGGGTATTCATAGGTAACCTTCAATCTAGCCCATCGGGACTTTACCTATGAAAACCTCAAACTTGTGACCAGAAATTAATTAGTCCCCTCCAACGACATATTTTTATCCTTATCTCGATCCATCGAACATTGTCATGTTTAATTTTTTTATTATTATTTTTTTTTCTCCAAAACCTACGTCACGAATTCCAAATGCAGTATTTTTTTCAAATTAACATTTTGTGTAGCCAATAATGTTAGATATTCGATAATGGCAGCGATATGATCAGGTGTTCGTTAATCTTATCATTCGACAAGCTTTGACAACATTTTTTTTTTATTACAAATAATGCCGAGAAAATAGAAATCAATGCCAGTTTTTATGACTTAACGTTCATTGGGGGAAAATTAATTTTTTAGAGGACAAAAGAAATAGAATAATTACTATGGAAGAACCATGGTACAATTAAATCAAGGTAATGTCATTTTAAATAATAATAATATCCAGCTCTGCAGTAATTTACCTTTTCAAATTGAATTTCATTGAAAAATGGTTCCCATCCATGATCCTCCTGATCCCTGACCTCCTATAAGTGTTTTTTTTTATATAAGTAACCTTATTTAACTTCTAATGACATTCTATGCTTGCTCCACAGAGATTGTTTTTAAACGCCTAAAAGTAGGCAACACTTTTTGATTTAACTGCTTTTAAAGGACGCCAAGTCTTTTATTTTTAAAGTCTTTTATTGTTTTACTCACCATCTTGTATTTAAACAAATAAAAAAACATTTTTTTTAATTTTTATTTATTTAACTATAGCAATATTCATTTTATTTTTATTTTATTTAAAAAGAATGTACAAATTATATTTAAGAGAGATAATAAAAAAATATAATACAAAAAATAATATTTACATAAAATACATAAATTGAGAGTTTCAAATTACAATACTACAATTTGGGATATAATAAAAACTTTATTTTGATATATTTTGATTGTTTTTTTTTGTAAAACGAAACATTTTTGTGAGAAAAAAACTGCATTTTAATATAGTTTAAGGTTATGTAAACTAAAAAAAAATGTATTTTTTTTAAACAAAAAATTTTTTTGAGAGAAGAAAATATAGGAAAAATGTTTGGCAAAGATCGGTGAAAATAAAAAAAAATAGGAAAACATATTTTTATATATTTAAGAGATATTTTTTTTAATAAAAAAAATTAATTTAAAAAAAAATCATTAAGTGATTCAAAATGTTGTTACTATTTTTGTTGCTGGCAATAATTTGTTAAAAAAATACTTTTTTGAAAATAAGAAAAAAATATTTCTTTTTATAATTTTACTTTAAAAATAAATACATTTTTCGAATTTGTTTTGCAAAAAAATTGTAAAATATATTTAAAAAAATAATATTGTTTAAAACATACTTGTTTTGTGAAAAAAATATTTGAAATTATTTTTAATATTTTTAATGGAAAACCCTAAATTTTGTTTACAAAACCGGTCTTTTTAAATGATTTAAAATTTGTAAATATCTTTATTGGTGGCAAAGAATTGTTAAAAATCTTGCTAGGTTTTAAACATATGTCTACTTTTTTCATATTAACATTTTTTTCCGGATTTTTTAACGTATATTTAAAAAAATAATATTGTTTATAATATAACATTTGTCCTCCACAAGAAAAATAATAAATTTAAACAAATACTTTTTTGTTGGCAATAATTTGATAAAATATACTTTTTTGAAAAAAAAAAAAAAAAAATTTAATATTTTCAGTTCAAAAATAAATATTTTTTGGTACTTGTTTTGAAATTTTACATAAATATATTTAAAAAAATAATATTGTTGAAAACACATATTTTTTTTTGAAAAAAAAAAAATGAAATTTTTGTATTTAAGTAATATTTTAAATGGAAAAATCCTAAATTTTGTTGTCGTTAAATTATTTAAAATTTGTAGTTATTATTGTTGGTGGCAAATAATTGTTAAAAAAAAACTTTTTGGAATTTTTATTAAAATATTTTAAATTTTTTAATATTTAAAAAAATAATTTTTTTTCGGATTTGTTTGGGAAAAATTATAAAGTATTTTTTTAATTATTATTTTTTTTCCAAAAAATAAAAAAAAATTAAATTTAAATAAAAATATTTTTTAATGGAAAAAACATTATTATTATTATTCTTTTTTGGAAAAAATATATGTTTGTGAAAAATATATATATTTTTTATATTAAAATTTTTAATGTTAATTAATAATTTTATTATAAATTATAATTTTTAATGGAAAAGTGTAAAATTTGTTAATAAATAATGGCCTTTAAATGATTTCAAATTTGTAACTATTGTTTTAATAAATATAAATAAAAATTTCGGAAAATATTTTTTTTTTGGAAAAAATTTTAAATATTTAAAATATAATTTCTTTTTGTGTTTTTTTTGAAAAAATAAATATTTATGGTTTTCAACAAACAAAAAATATTTTTTCAATGTTTTTAAAAACTAATTAAAGAAAAATAACTGTAATTACGTTACTTTAAAAAAATGAAAATATTTTTTTTTAATAAATTATACAAAACCATTTTTGAAAAAAAAAAAATAACATTTTTTGGAATATTTTTTGAAAATTTATGTAAATTAATTTTTTGTTAATTTTAGAAAAGCTTTTTTGGTTCTAAAAAAGTTAAAATTAATTCAAAAAACATTTAATGCAAAATATAATAAAATTAGAATTGAGAAAACCAAATATTATTTTTGGAATATTTTTTGAAAACTGATTTTTATCATTTTTTTAATTTAAATCATTTGATTTAAAAAAAAAATTTGAAAAAAATTTAAAGTTTTGAATTTTTGTCTAAAATAATTTTTTGTTAATTTAAAAAGCTTTTTTTGTTTTTTAAAATGTTAAAATTAATTCAACAAATATTCAATACAAAATATAATAAAATTCGATTTTAGAAAACCAAACATTTTTTTTTTGGAATATTTTTTCAAAACTGATTTTTGTGATTTTTTTTAATAAAAAAAAATGGTTATGAAAACAGATTTTCCATATTTAGGAAAGCTTTAATATATTTTTAAAATCTTTGAGGAAAACAATATTTTTTTTTGTTTGTGAAAACCATATTTATTTCTTTAATTATAAAAGCAATATTATTTTTTTAAATATATTTTTTTAAACTATTATTCTTAATTAATATTTTTTTCTATAAAAAAAATTGTTCATATCTGGAATTTCGAAAAGTTAAAAAAAAAATTTGCATTGAAATTTTGTCGTTGTGTATCGTATTGAGAAACTTAATACCAATTGTCTATCGAATTAACGATATTTTGAAAGTTTCGTTTTCTTTTTGTGTTTGAAGGAGAAAAATAAATTAAAATTTCTAATTTTTATAAATAATGTTATTTTTTTTGTCATTTAAAAATAAATTATTGAATTTTCTTAGTGGTAAAAATTCAATAAATATTTTTTCGTTTTTGTTTTGTTTTATAAAATATATAAATATTGTTGTGAATATATATATGTTTTTTTTTGAATGTATATCTTAAAATAATACCGAAAAAATGTGGTTATGTGTGCGTGAAAGGTGTTACAGTGGTGGTTGTTTGTTTTTGTTGTAAAAATATATTGAATTTTTGTTTTTCGTATGGAATTTTGAGTATGCAGAAAATAAGTGTGCATATAACTTAAATTTAAATGTTTTTTTATGTATTTCTAAATATTTTATATTATTTATAAATAAATGGTTTTTATTAAAATATTTATTTTGTTAAAAATAATTTAAAATGTACAAATATATGTTTAAAATTAAAGGCTAATTAGAGAAAATTATAAAACTATGTATGTGGCTCTCTATGACAAATGACTGAGTTGTATTTCCAAGAGAAGCGAGAGAGAGAATTTTTTAAGGGAGAAATTTCAAGTAAGAGATGTTCTCTATATGTAGTGTGTTGTCTCTCACCTCAAAGGCAACCCCTTCCATTTTCCTCACAGAGAACCCCACCTTAAATGTTCTGTAAAAAATTTGTGTTTTTTTTGGTTAAATAATTATTTTTATAAAAAAATTATCACATTTTTAATGCTAAATATATTAAATTTAAACAATTTTCCTTTGAGAATTTTGGAAATGGAATATGGTTTAGAAAATTGTTAACCAAAATTGAATTTGTGCTTTAGGGGAAAAAAATTTGGTAATTGGGTCATCAAATATCCATCCCTGCTTGATTTCGAAATAAAAAATATTTATTCATTTAAATAAATACTGTCTGTGTTTTTTTTAAATTTATTTTTGTTTGTATTTTTTTTTGTAAACGACTTTAGTTTTTTTTAACGACTCCCCCATGAAATATGTTTGCCATTTCCTCCAATTGTTTATTATTTTTTTTATAAGCTTCAACACTTTTGTTTTCCATGTCAACATTTAAAGTTTTTGTTTTTGCTGCTGCTGTTGTTTTTGTTCTGACGATTTTTTTTTTGTTATTTTGCAGAGCAAATCATTATCTTCATTTAAATATATTAATGGTTTTTTAATGTATTGCAAATAAGGCCAAACAATTAATTAATGAGGGTACTGTCTGTTTTTATAACAAAATAATAATACGCCTACAAAAAAACATATACAATATTAAACAATTCATTTCCGTATTGAAAAAAATCCAATTTTAATTTAATTATAAATATAGAAAAATTAAAAAAAAAAAAAAATACAAAATCATTAAAAAATAATTAAATAAATTAAAATACATGAAAAATAAATACAAATTTTTAAAAATAAAAATTAAAACAAAAATAACTTAAAAAAAAAACTCTAAAAAATAATTTTTATTTGTTCTAAATAAATAAAAGAAGATAGTGATATAAAATCAGCTTTTAAATTGGGGTAAAGGAGGAAATAAAGGGAGAGAGAGAGAGAGCGAGAGGAAAAGAGTCACAGAACAGAGAGAATGCTTAAAATCCCCATTAAAAATATATTTTATCAAAAAAACTTTTAAAGAACAGTTTCAAAATCGACCAAAACGAGGTGAAAAACCATGTAATTCTCCCTATTTTTTTTCTAACCGATTCATTTTTCTCATGAACCGGTTCTTATTTAACTAAAAATGGTTTAGTAACGAGGAAAATGGTTCGTATTTTTCTTGTAACCTTTTATTTGTACCAGAACCGGTTGCTATTCAACTAAAACCGGTTAATTTCTACTATGAACCGGTTTCGATTCAACTACAAATGATTCAGAAATGAAGAAAATGCTTTTTATTTTTCTTGTAACCTTTTATTTTTACTAGAACCGGTTCCTATTCAACTAAAACCGGTTCATTATTCTCATGAACCGGTTCCTATTAACCTAAAAAGATTCAGAAATGAAGAAAATGCTTTGTATTTTTCTTGTAACCTTTTATTTTTACTAGAACCGGTTCCTATTCACTTAAAACCGGTTCATTATTCTCATGAAGCGGTTCCTATTCACCTAAAAATGGTTCAAAAATGGAGAAAATGCTATGTATATTTCTTGTAACCTTTTATTTTTACTAGAACCGGTTCCTATTCAACTAAAACCGGTTCATTTCTCCCATGATCCGGTTCCTATTCAACTAAAAATTATTCTGAAATGAAAAAAATCTTTGTATTTTTCTTGTAACCTTTTATTTTTACTAGAACCGGTTCATATTTCCCATGAACCGGTTCGAATTTGACCCAAACCGGTTCAGAAATAAAGAAAAACCAGTCTTATTAGCTTCCTTACGGGATTTTCTTCCAAAAACTTACTAAGTGACCTATATTTGCCGCCAAATGGGATTGTTTGCACTAGAACCGGTTTGAATTGGGGTTATACCAATTTGAAATGAAGGAAAAATTGTAAATATTTCACTGAAAGCCGGTTGAACCGGTTCCCTTTCGACTAAAAATGGTTCAGAAATGAAGAAAATGCTTTGTATTTTTCGTGTAACATCTTATTGTTACTAGAACCGGTTCATATTTTCCATGAACCGGTTCGAATTCGATTCAAACCGGTTCACACATAAAGAAAATCCAATCCTATTAGCTTCTTAATGAGTTTCCTTCCAAAAACATTTATTAAGTGACCTGTATTTGCCCCTAAATGGGATTGTTTGCTCTGGAACCGGTTCTTATTTTTCATGAAATGGCTCTCATTGGGGTTTATACCAATTCGAAATGCAGAAAAAAAGATTAAATTTTTTACTGAAACATTTTTATTTTTGCTGGAACCGGTGCACATGTGCATTGAACCGGAACCGGTTCTCATTGGAGTCAAATGGGAACCGGTTCTCATTGGAGTCAAATCGATTTGAAATGAAGAAAAATGCTAATTTTTGAGATTAAAAAGTGTATTTTATGAAGAACCGGTTCAAATTCCCCATTAACCGGTTCAAGTCAGATTCAAACCGGTTCAGAAATTTTGAAATTATTTGCTCCCTAAGAATCTATCTTTACGAAAACGTTCAAACATAAAGTAAGCGGTTCATATTTTCTAAATAGGGATTATTTGAACTAGAACCGGTTCTTATTTACCATGAACCGGTTCCGAATGGAAGTCAACCTGGTTCGAAATAAAGGAAAAAGAATAAATATCTGGCAGAAAAATGAATTTTTGCTGGAACCGGTTCACGTGACCTATGAACCGGTTCAGATTACAGCCAAACCGGTTGAAAAATAAAGAAAATTTAAAAGTATTTGCTTCTTGAGAGTTTCCATTCCGATAATGGTTCGAATTTTCCCTTTAAATTCGGTTATTTGACTTTAAACCGGTTCTTATTTCCCTAGAACCGGTTCATATTGAAGTCAAATCGATTTGGATTTGGAAGAAAAATGCTAAATATTTGAAAATAATTTGTACTGGACAAATACTGGAGCGAAAACAAATTGCTATTCCATTTCGAGTCGGTTTTTTTTTTGTCATAAACCGGTTCGTGCAAGACCTAATCTGAGTTTTTAAAATAAAATAAAGTTATTGAAAACTCGGAAGCGGTTCAAACAGCCCTCTTTTACATAAAACGATTAATAAACAAAGACGAAGGGATCATATTGGTTCTGAACCGGCTCGCACTCTATCGAAACCGGTTCTGCATTTATAATTGTCATTTTCAGGGAATTTTTAATGGTCGCTTTAGTCGGTTACTCATGGTTTTTTTTGAAATGTTATTTTTCAAAAAATTATAAAAAATATTTCTCTCCTTTCTCTACCTCTTTTTCTCAAAAGTCAATTCTGCTCACTCTCTCTCCTCTCCCACTTAATGGGAAACATTGCCCTATATCTGCGTCCACGTCTATAAATCTCTAAACCTAAATATTCATCTCTTTTTCCAATCACCTCTGATTTTGTTTCCCGCCCTTAATCTTTGTTGTTTTTTTGGAACTTTTCGAAAAAAATATGATTACCCTACACTGTCATCATGGTGTGGGTGGAATTTTGACTGAGACTTGTCTCAGAATACGGAATGGCGGAATACATCTTCTTGCGATTTTTGGTATGGCGTATTATCAGGAACAGGGCTATGAAGAGCAGGACTCCAATGAATATTGCAATCATGATGACATAGTGGATCCCATCGAATCTGGAACGCCTTTGATGTTGGGTACTTTGACTGCCATAGTTGTTGGTTTCTTCGAAGAGTAGATTTTTCTGATGTGGCAAGGGCTCTAATAGTTCGGGTCCCGTTGTGGTTGAAGGGTTGGCTGTCGAGGCCGATGAGTGTTCGATTTCAGATGAGGAGGAGGAGGAGGTGAATTCGGGTGGCGTATATGGTGAGCTGGTGGTGAATGGAGAGTTTGTGCTGGGTGGGGTGTGGGGAGTATTGATGTTGTTTTTGAGGGTTGTTGTTGTCTTAGGTACATTGCCAGAGATCTTTTCAGTTGTGGAGTAGGTTTCGCTGGAGTCAAGGTGTTTTTCTACATCTTTTTTCGTAGTGGTTTCTCTGAAGGTTTGCTGGGTTGTGGAGTCCTGGGAGTGTATGGCTATATTTTCTGCAAAGGTATCTTCTGTTGTGGAAGTGTGCGCCTTACTGGTCCTGTCTAGTGTTGTTAATTCTATACCAGCCACCGAAGAGCTTGTGGAATCTTCCAGAGGGATTTGAGAGCTACTCTCGGCAAGTGTAGAGGTCTCTGCTACGAATATGGAACTGGACCGATCTGCCGTGGAGTAGGTAAGAACTTCCGATGTGGTTTCAGGTTCCAATGTTGAAGACCAATTGTGGTTGTTGTCTGTGCTAGATAATGCCTCCTCTGTGACAGTTGAAGACTCCACTTCTCGGGATATGGTTGAGGTTGTCACCATTTCCGAAGTAGTTGCCAGATTTTCCTTCCGTGGAGTGGTTGGATTTTCCATGGTGGTGTCTGGAACCGAGACAGAGGAATCAGCAACGCCCTTCATGGTACTGGAGGAAATGTTTTCAGTGGTGCTGGACATTTCTTCCTGGGTAGAGGTGGAGCTTAGGTTCTCCTCCATCTTTTCAGTGGTGGAAATCTTGATCAATGGAGTTTCAGAGGATTCCTCAGTAACCGGTTCTGTAGAGGACATTATTTTCTCGGTAGAGGTCTCGCTGGCTGGAGATTTATTCAATTCAGGTACTGTAGAGGACATGACTTTTTCGGTCGAGGTCGCTGATGTGGTCACATCTTTTAACTCGGGCTCCATTGAGGATCTTACTCGTTCGGTAGATGTCGCCATTGTTGTGTTAGGCGTTTTCTGGGTGGTCATTTCCCTGGTTACCTCCTCTGGCATGGCAGCAATTTCCGTTACATTTTCTTCTGCCTTCTCCTTCACAATCTCCTCCTCCGGTTCGGGACACCGCGGACAACACTCATCCTCATCATGAATGGGATTGTCACACTCCCCCTCCAAACTCTTACAGATCGGTGTGGTGCAACTCTTCTCACCCTGATCACAGCTACAGCTGACACAGCTACCCTCCATCCAGGCCTCACCATTGGCCATCACCTGCTGATAGTAGTCGGAGAAGCAGCTTTGTATTGTCTCCTCCTGGGGGCAGTGATCTTCACACATTTCATTTTCACCAAAGCAGGAACACTTCAGGCATTTGCTCTTCCAAAAGCTCTGTTTCACGCCAAAGGCACAGGTGATCTTGGGGATGCATTTGTAGACGGGACAGCAACTGCCCGGAACACCCTGACCCTTTTGCACCTCTATGGCCACCTCATCATCAGAGCAATCGGGAAAATCATTGCATTCATTGCAGACACAGCCACAACAATGTTCCAGAGCGGATTGTTGTTGTTGTTGTGGTGAGACCTCACGTTTGCTCAGATAGTGTGGCACTGTGTGATGTATATGCTCTGGGGGTATCAGCTCCTCAAACTGTCCCAGCTCCTCAACATATGTCGAATCGTCCAGATCTTCTTCATTTTCTCCGTCCTCCTCCTCCAGGGCTGTGGCATTGTAGCTGTCTTGGGGGCAGGAGCTGGGACATTGTATGGCTTTACAATTCACATCGTCATTTTCTGGAAGAGAGGAAAAAAGAGATTTTTAAAAAATTATTTTTTTAAAGGTCTATCAAAGGTGTGGATTTTTTAAATAAATTTTTTCAAGGCCTACCAAAGGCGTGGATTTTTTAAATAAATTTTTTCAAGGCCTACCAAAGGCGTGGATTTTTTAAATAAATTTTTTCAAGGCCTACCAAAGGCGTGGATTTTTTAAATAAATTTTTTCAAGGCCTATACTAGGCGTGGATTTTTTAAATAAATTTTTTCAAGGCCTATACTAGGCGTGGATTTTTTAAATAAATTTTTTCAAGGCCTATACTAGGCGTGGATTTTTTAAATAAATTTTTTCAAGGCCTATACTAGGCGTGGATTTTTTAAATAAATTTTTTCAAGGCCTATACTAGGCGTGGATTTTTTAAATAAATTTTTTCAAGGCCTATACTAGGGGTGGATTTTTTAAATAAATTTTTTCAAGGCCTATACTAGGCGTGGATTTTTTAAATAAATTTTTTCAAGGCCTATACTAGGCGTGGATTTGTTAAATAACTTTTTTCAAGGCCTACCAAAGGCGTGGATTTTTTAAATAAATTTTTTCAAGGCCTATACTAGGCGTGGATTTTTTAAATAAATTTTTTCAAGGCCTATACTAGGCGTGGATTTTTTAAATAAATTTTTTCAAGGCCTACCAAAGGCGTGGATTTTTTAAATAAATTTTTTCAAGGCCTACCAAAGGCGTGGATTTTTTAAATAAATTTTTTCAAGGCCTACCAAAGGCGTGGATTTTTTAAATAAATTTTTTCAAGGCCTACCAAAGGCGTGGATTTTTTAAATAAATTTTTTCAAGGCCTACCAAAGGCGTGGATTTTTTAAATAAATTTTTTCAAGGCCTACCAAAGGCGTGGATTTTTTAAATAAATTTTTTCAAGGCCTACCAAAGGCGTGGATTTTTTAAATAAATTTTTTCAAGGCCTACCAAAGGCGTGGATTTTTTAAATAAATTTTTTCAAGGCCTACCAAAGGCGTGGATTTTTTAAATAAATTTTTTCAAGGCCTACCAAAGGCGTGGATTTTTTAAATAAATTTTTTCAAGGCCTACCAAAGGCGTGGATTTTTTAAATAAATTTTTTCAAGGCCTACCAAAGGCGTGGATTTTTTAAATAAATTTTTTCAAGGCCTACCAAAGGCGTGGATTTTTTAAATAAATTTTTTCAAGGCCTACCAAAGGCGTGGATTTTTTAAATAAATTTTTTCAAGGCCTACCAAAGGCGTGGATTTTTTAAATAAATTTTTTCAAGGCCTATACTAGGCGTGGATTTTTTAAATAAATTTTTTCAAGGCCTATACTAGGCGTGGATTTTTTAAATAAATTTTTTCAAGGCCTATACTAGGCGTGGATTTTTTAAATAAATTTTTTCAAGGCCTATACTAGGCGTGGATTTTTTAAATAAATTTTTTCAAGGCCTATACTAGGGGTGGATTTTTTAAATAAATTTTTTCAAGGCCTATACTAGGCGTGGATTTTTTAAATAAATTTTTTCAAGGCCTATACTAGGCGTGGATTTGTTAAATAACTTTTTTCAAGGCCTACCAAAGGCGTGGATTTTTTAAATAAATTTTTTCAAGGCCTATACTAGGCGTGGATTTTTTAAATAAATTTTTTCAAGGCCTATACTAGGCGTGGATTTTTTAAATAAATTTTTTCAAGGCCTACCAAAGGCGTGGATTTTTTAAATAAATTTTTTCAAGGCCTACCAAAGGCGTGGATTTTTTAAATAAATTTTTTCAAGGCCTACCAAAGGCGTGGATTTTTTAAATAAATTTTTTCAAGGCCTATACTAGGCGTGGATTTTTTAAATAAATTTTTTCAAGGCCTACCAAAGGCGTGGATTTTTTAAATAAATTTTTTCAAGGCCTACCAAAGGCGTGGATTTTTTAAATAAATTTTTTCAAGGCCTACCAAAGGCGTGGATTTTTTAAATAAATTTTTTCAAGGCCTACCAAAGGCGTGGATTTTTTAAATAAATTTTTTCAAGGCCTACCAAAGGCGTGGATTTTTTAAATAAATTTTTTCAAGGCCTACCAAAGGCGTGGATTTTTTAAATAAATTTTTTCAAGGCCTACCAAAGGCGTGGATTTTTTAAATAAATTTTTTCAAGGCCTACCAAAGGCGTGGATTTTTTAAATAAATTTTTTCAAGGCCTATACTAGGCGTGGATTTTTTAAATAAATTTTTTCAAGGCCTATACTAGGCGTGGATTTTTTAAATAAATTTTTTCAAGGCCTATACTAGGCGTGGATTTTTTAAATAAATTTTTTCAAGGCCTATACTAGGCGTGGATTTTTTAAATAAATTTTTTCAAGGCCTATACTAGGGGTGGATTTTTTAAATAAATTTTTTCAAGGCCTATACTAGGCTTGGATTTTTTAAATAAATTTTTTCAAGGCCTATACTAGGCGTGGATTTGTTAAATAACTTTTTTCAAGGCCTACCAAAGGCGTGGATTTTTTAAATAAATTTTTTCAAGGCCTATACTAGGCGTGGATTTTTTAAATAAATTTTTTCAAGGCCTATACTAGGCGTGGATTTTTTAAATAAATTTTTTCAAGGCCTACCAAAGGCGTGGATTTTTTAAATAAATTTTTTCAAGGCCTACCAAAGGCGTGGATTTTTTAAATAAATTTTTTCAAGGCCTACCAAAGGCGTGGATTTTTTAAATAAATTTTTTCAAGGCCTACCAAAGGCGTGGATTTTTTAAATAAATTTTTTCAAGGCCTACCAAAGGCGTGGATTTTTTAAATAAATTTTTTCAAGGCCTACCAAAGGCGTGGATTTTTTAAATAAATTTTTTCAAGGCCTACCAAAGGCGTGGATTTTTTAAATAAATTTTTTCAAGGCCTACCAAAGGCGTGGATTTTTTAAATAAATTTTTTCAAGGCCTACCAAAGGCGTGGATTTTTTAAATAAATTTTTTCAAGGCCTACCAAAGGCGTGGATTTTTTAAATAAATTTTTTCAAGGCCTACCAAAGGCGTGGATTTTTTAAATAAATTTTTTCAAGGCCTACCAAAGGCGTGGATTTTTTAAATAAATTTTTTCAAGGCCTACCAAAGGCGTGGATTTTTTAAATAAATTTTTTCAAGGCCTACCAAAGGCGTGGATTTTTTAAATAAATTTTTTCAAGGCCTACCAAAGGCGTGGATTTTTTAAATAAATTTTTTCAAGGCCTACCAAAGGCGTGGATTTGTTAAATAATTTTTTTCAAGGCCTACCAAAGGCGTGGATTTGTTAAATAAATTTTTTCAAGGCCTACCAAAGGCGTGGATTTGTTAAATACATTTTTTCAAGGCCTACCAAAGGCGTGGATTGATAAATAAATTTTTTCAAGGCCTATACTAGGCGTGGATTTTTTAAATAATTTTTTTTCAAGGCCTATACTAGGCGTGGAAAGATAAATAAATTTTTTCAAGGCCTATACTAGGCGTGGATTTTTTAAATAATTTTTTTTCAAGGCCTATACTAGGCGTGGAAAGATAAATAAATTTTTTCAAGGCCTATACTAGGCGTGGATTTTTTAAATAATTTTTTTTCAAGGCCTATACTAGGCGTGGAAAGATAAATAAATTTTTTCAAGGCCTATACTAGGCGTGGATTTTTTAAATAATTTTTTTTCAAGGCCTATACTAGGCGTGGAAAGATAAATAAATTTTTTCAAGGCCTATACTAGGCGTGGATTTTTTAAATAATTTTTTTTCAAGGCCTATACTAGGCGTGGAAAGATAAATAAATTTTTTCAAGGCCTATACTAGGCGTGGAAAGATAAATAAATTTTTTCAAGGCCTATACTAGGCGTGGATTTTTTAAATAAATTTTTTTCAAGGCCTATACTAGGCGTGGATTTTTTAAATAAATTTTTTCAAGGCCTACCAAAGGCGTGCATTTTTTAAATAAATTTTTTCAAGGCCTATACTAGGCGTGGCATTTTTAAATACATTTTTGTCAAGGCCTACCAAAGGCGTGCATTTTTTAAATAAATTTTTTCAAGGCCTATACTAGGCGTGGCATTTTTAAATACATTTTTGTCAAGGCCTACCAAAGGCGTGGATTTTTTAAATAAATTTTTTCAAGGCCTGTACTAGGCGTGGATTTTTTAAATAAATTTTTTCAAGGCCTATACTGGGCGTGGATTTTTTAAATAAATTTTTTCAAGGCCTACCAAAGGCGTGGATTTTTTAAATAATTTTTTTCAAGGCCTATACTGGGCGTGGATTTTTTAAATAAATTTTTTCAAGGCCTACCAAAGGCGTGGATTTTTTAAATAAATTTTTTCAAGGCCTACCAAAGGCGTGGATTTTTTAAATAAATTTTTTCAAGGCCTATACTGGGCGTGGATTTTTTAAATAAATTTTTTCAAGGCCTATACTAGGTGTGGATTTTTTAAATAAATTTTTTCAAGACCTATACTAGGCGTGGATTTTTTAAATAAATTTTTTCAAGACCTATACTAGGTGTGGATTTTTTAAATAAATTTTTTCAAGACCTATACTAGGTGTGGATTTTTTAAATAATTTTTTTTAAGATATATACTAGGCGTAGAAAGATAAATAAAATATTTTGAAGGATCCGAGATTCTCAGGAGACACATTTATGTTTTTATTTGGGTTCCACTGTAAAAAACAATGCTGCTTATAAATTCCGTTATTGACATTGTGGTTCCAGCGCATTCGGACAGCAGAGCAGACAAATCATTCCATGAGTACATACTTATGCTCCACATTGCTCGACACCACTCCACATGTGGTGTTTGGAAAAATGTAATAGAACTGATGGTTTCCATCAAACAAAAAATGGAATACATAACTCCCGAAAAACAGAGAAACACCCAAAGTGGCCTACAAAGACAAAACCCCAAACTGGTGGTAATTGTTGCTGTTCCACTTTGGCCACCACATCACGAGCCGTTGCATTCCACCAACGGAATGGTTGTCTGTATTTGTTCTTCTTTTTGATGGCCTCAAGCG